CAAGAGTTCAAAGTCATCCACTGCAGGTAAAATGAACACCTTCAAAAAAGCTTGCCTAGCCATGGCAGTATGGCTACCATTGTGAGAGCCAACTTGTCACATGTTGAAACCCAATGTAGAACCTGAAAAACCTGAGAGTTTTTCCTTCCTCGACTTTATTTGCTATGTCTCTAAAGAGCTAGATGCTATTAGCTAAAGCACTCTCAAGCTTCTCTGCAGAAAGGAGAAAGAACTAATGTACAGCTTTCTGGATCATGCTGTGTTAGTCACTCCTCTCCGGCTTGGGTGGAGTGAGCTCACACCTGGAGCTCTTGGGTCTCCATCTTTGGTGCTGGGTGGCCACTGACCACCAAAACATTCCAGTGCCACAAAGATCCCACAAGGATCCTCTCTCTACAATTGCCTCTTCTTGTTGAGGAAGAAAAACTTGCCTGAAGAAACTCCTAGCAATCATCAAGCTCCTCGCTTGCATTCCCAAACCCTAGACACATCCTCCTCCCCAAGTTGCATTTTGAGCACATATCTTCCTCCTCCACAGCCATCACCAGCCCTGCCACGCATGATCCCCTCTCCTACTTATTGCCTAGCATATGCTGCCCAGTTAGCAAGCACTATTTTGATTATCATAGTATCAAACATTAGCATCATTATTTGCGGTTATTCAAGGCAAGTGTTTGAGAAAACCCAGTGAAGAATCTTGTCAGCTGGAATGTTGCTATTGCAGCAATTGCCACAGCTAGGGAGCTGGAGGAGGCATGGCAATTATTTGATGGGATGCCTTTTTACAGTCTCATGTCATGGACAACAATGATCACTACATATGCAGATTGTGGAATGGTTGATGAAACAAAAAATTAGTTTCTTGCACTGGCGCACAGAGACGTCATCTGCTGGAAGGTAATGCTTTTGTGCTATGCCCAAACCTGGCATCTGAAAGAAGCCATTGCCCTCTTCAATGAGATGCCAAAGCAAGATGTTTCGTTGTATAAAACTATGATATCAGTTTTGCCATCAAGAAATTATTTAGAAAATGTGAAGGATCTATTTGATACTATGCCATTATGAACTATAGCCGCTTGGAACTTTCTGATTATGGCAAATGCTGAGAATGGGCAAAGTGAAAAAGGTGGCCATTGTTTTCTTTGAGATGCCTGAGTGGGACTGCTGCTCATGGAACAGCCTCTTGGGTGCGATTGCGGAGTCTAGGAGGATTGATGATGCAATCGTGATGTTTCAGAGAATCCCTTTCAAAGACACAGTTTCATGGAACCTGATGATTGTGGCAATAGGTTCCCGCGGCCATATCCACGAGGTGCAAGCTCTCTTTGCTGTGATGCCACAGAGAAACATTGTCTCATGGAGCACAATGATCAGAGCTTGTGAGCAGTAGGGACTGGCTGTGGACACAAAGATTGTGTTTGATTCCATGGAGTCTCAAGACACGGTCTCGTGGAATTCACTTCTGGCAGCTTACCTTGCGAGCGATTGAGTGGGTGATGCTAGAAAAGTGTTTGATTCCATACGTGATTGAGATGCGGTGTCATGGACATCGATGATCTCCACCCACACTGCACGGGGCCAGATGTGCGCTCTTCGATTCCATGCCATGGTGAGTTGTGGTGTGTGGAATGCAATCATCTCCGGCTACACAAGGAGCAGCAATCTAGATGAGGCACAGCTTTCCTTTGGTCAGATGCCCCATTGCAACACTATGACAATCAATGCCATGGTTGCAAAGCTTGCATTTGGTGGTAGGATTCAAGACCTACAGTCCGGGAGGATTGAGGAAGCCAGGGCACTGTTTGATCACTTGAGCCTGGAGAATTGGGACAATCAGAGCAAGATTTCTTTGTAACGAAGCTTACGGGCCATGCTTCTTCGTGGTGGAAGAACTACATCAAAGCTAATCTGAAGCCAACTTCTTAGACTGATTTGACAAAGGTTTTCTGTGCTTTATTTGTCAAGAATTTTGAAGAGGTTGATCTCATGAATCAGTTGTTAGAGATCCGGCAGGGGACTTTGTCTTTGGATGTGTATGCCCGCAAGTTCCATGATCTTTGCCTTAGTCTCACAGGCACCTATAATGAGCTGCTAAAGGTGCAATGTTTTATTAAAGGATTGAACTTGGTGGATGTGTAACAGAAGGTCAAGAAGGATTTTCCAGCAACATTGACTGATGCTATCACTAAAGCTCAGATATTTTCGCCCGAACCATCAGTCAACTCGGTCAACTCTGGTGGTCTACGGGGTGGTCAACGTGATGACCAGCTCACCAATGCCTCATATTCGGGGAAGAAACAGCCATTGTTCCATTGTGGCTCAAAAAATGAAGATGGCAGTGAGGCTATGAAACTTTGTTTGGACCAGCGAGAGAAAGACAAAGCAGAAGGCAATTGTTTTCGTTGCCATAGGGTTGGACATCAGAGCAAGGATTGTTTTGAAGGGGTCAATGAATGATAAGGTGACTGTGGTGGAAATTATAGGCAATGATGTCAGTGATAGTGCTTTTGGGGCCGTATTGTTTCAAGTTAGGCATTCTCTCGCATTCATGAGTCACAAGTTTGATGCCACACAACAGAATTGACGTACTCGAGAATAGTGACATTCTCTATATAGATCGGACTTCCATGTGGATTCAAACCATTAGTCTCTCCAATATTTCAGTCGACAAAAGGATCTTCGAGGCCGCTTTGCTCGTTGGCAAGAGTTCATGCAGGAAATATCTGTTAAGATCTGGTACAAGCATGGAGGTGACAATAAGGTGGCTGATGTGTTATCTAGGATGGTAAATTCTATCTCGTTCGTGAAGCTATCCAACGATCTCTTGGATGAGCTTAAGGAGTTTGTTGACTTCGACTCCTTTATCACTGATATTCGCGCGAAGGTTTTGTTGAGGGATGCTTCTACAGATTTGAAGGGTGACAAATTTACATCATTCAAAATAGAAGATGGAATCCTGGTGAAGAAGGGACTTGTAGTGGTTCCTCGTGTTGACAAACTCATCAAACGGATTTTGGTTGAGTGTCATGATGTGCCAAGTGCTGGGCATCCGGGGGTATTGAGAATGTATATGTTGGTGAAGAGGCATTTCTTTTGGCCTGGGATGAAGTCAGATGTTGAAAAGTACATATGTGGTTGCTTGACCTACCAAGCGGTCAAAGTTGACTGGCCTCTATCATCCTTTACGTGTACCTAAGAATAAGTGGGATAGCATATTGATGGACTTTATCACTGGTTTGCCCAAAACTTTTCGAAGAAATAATGCTATTTGGGTTGTTGTGGATCATTTGACAAAGATAGCTCACTTCTTCTCTGTGAAGACAACGATAAAAGCTTCTGAACTTGCTTAGTTGTTTGTAGACCAATTATTTAGTCTTTATGGTTTGCCGGGTGACATTGTGAGTGATCGGGATCCTAAGTTCACGTCCAAGTTTTGGCAAACGGTCTTTGAGAAGGTAGAGACTAAGCTGAGCATGAGTAGTGGTGAGCATCCAGCAGACAAAGCGCATGAATCAACTATTAGAAGATATGCTACGGTCTTTTGTGGGAAACTTGACTCGATAGGAAGTATGGGAAAAATACTTGCCTTTGCTTCAGTTTGCTCACAATAGTGCTCATCAATCAGCTATTGGCATGTCTCCTTTTATGGCAATGTATGGCTATGAGCCTAGGTCTCCTATGAGTTTGAATTTGGCTTTGGTTCGGGTTCCTCATGCTTGTGATTTCCTGGAGGATATGCAAGACAAGCTTGAGTTGACAAAATTGAACATGAGGCAAGCTCAAGAACGAGACAAAAGATTGGCTGATGAGCATTGTCGTCATCAAGAGTACAAAGTTGGTGACAAGGTTTTCCTTAAGCTGTTAGATGCACAACGGTCTTTGAAAGGAGGTGGCAGTGCTAAGTTGTCTCCACGGTATTGTGGGCTTTTGACAATTTTACAGCGTGTGGGGGATCTTGCATACACTTTAGACTTGCTAGTTAATTTGAAGATTCATCCAACGTTCCATGTGAGCAAGCTTAAAGTGTGTTTGCACTTTGGTGATATCGTGGATCAGTCCATCATCCAGGTTCCAGAGATTGATGCAGAGAAGGCTGGTCTGGCCAATATTCTTGCTCAAAGATTGGTGAAAACACGCCGGAAGACAACTAGGGAGTCGTTAGTTCAGTGGAATGGTTATTCCATGGACGAAGCTACATGGGAAATTGAGGATGACATGAAGAGAGTGTTTCTGAGTTTTGGTTATGACTTGGATGACATTTTTGAGGAAGGGGAGAATTGAGTTTTATAGCCGTATTGCTATATGATTTGAGCTATTTGTTCTATTCTTGTTCTCTTGTTTCCATGACTGTATTGTTATGTGAGAAAGCTGTATTGCTTTCTTTCTTTCATGACTGTTTGTCACAATGTTGGTGTTGCTGTTTGCACATCTTTTCTCCATGGCCGTATTGCATTAGACTCCTTTCATGTGAGGCTATTTAGCTTCTCGAGGCTACTGTATGTGGCTGGGTCATGAAGGAGGGGAAAATGACACAAACCACAAGAATATTCCAAGAATATTCTATGGCCTGTGGGATTTAAGGCCATAACGCCTTAAGGGTTGGGAGGTTGGCCTAGGGTTCGCTCTCTTGTTCATTTCACTACATCATGGAATCAATTCTTGTGGAATGCCATGCTCTCTACCTTCGCATCAAACAGCCATCTTGACCATGCAAAGCTGTTGTTTGATCTAATGCCCGAATGGGATGTTGCTTCATGGTCGATCATGATCACTGCCTTCTCCAGGCATGGCTTACTCCTACAGTCAAAAGAAGTTTTCAATTCCATGAGAGAGAGAGGCCTTGTAGCATGGAATGCAATGATCTTAGCATATGAGACAAACAGGCATTTGGATAAAGCAATGCAGCTCTTTGAGCTTATGCAGAAAGGAGCTTAATCTCTTGATCCATAATTCTATCCAAATCCACCAACTTCTTTTAAATAACGACACTCTTCAGCTCCATGCCTGAGAGAGATCTTGTTGCTTGGAACTCTCAGCTATCAGCACTTGGCCAAGCTGGGCATTTGCAGGAGGCGAAGGACATCTTCTCCAACATGCCAAAATTTGATGCTCTGTCTTTTACGTCCATGATTCAGTGCTTTGGCCAGCACGGCCTTTTGGAAGATGCCAAGTATTTCTTCCTCGCACTGCCTCACAAGGATTTGGTTGCCTGCACGGTTTTTCTTGTTGTCTTGGTGGAAAGTGGCTGCTTTCACAAGGCAAAGAATCTGTTTGAGTCGATTGAGTGTATAGATGTGGTTTCATGCGCGGTAATCCTGTCCGCTTACGCAGATCACAACGACAGTAGCATCGCTGAGGCTGAGCAAATCTTTTACACCATGCAGCGCCACAACACGTTTGCTTGCACTGCAATCCTGCGCTTGTATTCTCGGCAAGGACAGACTCACGACGCCGAAGCCATATATTTAGGTCTGCCTGATCAAGGCGAGCATTTAGTCCCGGCAACCGCTCTCATTACAGCATATGCTTGCAATGGGCATCTGAAAAAAGTACAGAAACTCTTTGATGGAATGAAGGAGCGAAACGAGGTTACGTGGACTGCCATGCCGACAGGATATGTAAACAACCACAGGCTAGAGGACGCCCTGTGGAATTTTGAGAAAATGCCGGGTCACAGCGAGATACCAGTGATTGTGCTCATGTCGGGGTATGCCCGAAGTGGACATATGCTTTTTGCTAAGAGAATTTTTGACAACTCCAGTGAAAAGAGTGCTATTGCTTTCAATGCTCTCTTGTCTGGTTTTTCATCAAATTCGCAGTTACTGGAAGCCAAAAGTGTGTTCGATTCAATCCAAGAAAGAAATCAATCTTCATGGAGTGCAATGCTTTCTGCATATACCCAAAACGGGCATCTGGATATGGCAAATCGGATGTTCTTAACAATGCCGGACAAGGATTTCATATCTTGCTGGCAGCATACTCTTGGATTGGGGCCATTTCCAGAGCCTTGGATGCCTTTCAAACCATGGTCACTACTAATACACCTGATGAAGCTAGGTTAACAGCTTTGCCCACGTCATGTGCTCACAAAGGCACTGCTGCCATAGCTTGGGATCTCTTTGTGTCTTTCCAGTTTGATCACTCCATCAAACCCTCAAAGCAGCACTACTCGTGTATGATTGGTGTGCTTGTCTGGTCAGGGTATATCCAAGACGCTGAGAATCTTCTGTGGGAGATGCCATACTACCCAGATTCCATGCATTGGAAGTGCTTGCTTGGAGCTGTAGTGAGTGGAGATGCAATGAAAAATGCCATTAGTGTGGAGCCTAGTAACAGTGCTGCATATGTTCTTATTGCCAATTCTCACATAGTTACATAGCTTAGATATTTTCAAGAGATTATATCAATTTTTACAACTATATCAAATTTTCTTACAAGGTGTCATGGTTTTTGTTGGCTATTTGATCGGCATTTATACCCATGGAATCCATATGGAACTCCAGCAGGCAACTCTAGAAAAGCCACTGTCTCAAGCGTGGGCGATTTGGCATCTATGACCAAAAGCTCCAAGACACCATTTTTCTCATCATGGATGTAGCTTAAGACGTATCCATCACCTTCCTCCTCGCCATTCGCCACAAAACTTACCACGTTTGAATCTCCTTGATGCCACAATGCACAGCTCCTTGAGGTCCAGGTCACTTGTTCTGTCAATTACCACACTGGACAGCCGTGGAGCGTCCAGATCAACCTTGGCCAGGCCCGAGAATTTGGGCCATGGCCCATAGTTGTAGATGTACCGGTTCTTCTGCCCCAGGAGTTTCTGGTTGATCTTTCCAAAATCCAGTCCCACCAAGCACACATGTTGCTTCCACGACCGAGATTGAGATAGTTATCCTTACCTCAAAACCAAATTTTAAGAGTGGTTGTACAAGTGATTGTTGTGTGGCTTGCTGCTTGGATAATTTCTGGGGGATTTCACTTTGTAAGTGAATTCAATATAACCAATAGTCATGTAGAACAGTGTGTCCTTGGAAAGTCTGAACGTTCTTAGTTTTGAAGTGTGGCAGGACTAGATTCTTAGTTGCGGGGAAAAAATTCTCTCCATAATTTATATGGATCTATGCTTAGAACTAATGTTAAGAAAACATAATATGTGATTCCCACAGGCAAAGCTTTTGTACCAGTGTGACATCACGGTTTGAAGAATCTGTACCGATCATGATCGCATATTAATTTACAGCCCCACTTTCGACATGCATCCCATAGCTGCAAAGACGATGGTGGTGTAGGTCAAGACACTAATCTCCGAATTGATGATTGTTTCTACAACTCTCAAGGCACTAGCCAAGATTGCATCAACAGATATGCTTTTTTTCTCATAGAGAGCAATGTATGGTCAAGAGGTTTTATTGGATGGAATAAAAAAGTGTAGCAATCTATCTGCAGCTTGTAAGCTTCACAATGAGATCAAGCACGTCGTTGTGGCAGGAGATTCTTTGGCATCCAATTTTCTGGTGCAAATGTATGGGAGGTGTGGATGACCCGAGGCAGCATGGCAAGTATCTAGATCGAGGAGTGGAATGCCATGCCACATCAAACAGCCATCTTGACCAAGAAAAGCAGTTGTTTGATCGAATGGGACCTTGCTTCATGGTCGATCATGATCATGTTAGAGGTAGAGATGATGTGGCATGTAGTTATGCCCACGTGGCAGTAGTTCCATGTATATGTACCATCTATATACAGTTGAATATAGAGAGAGAGAAAGTTCTTGTTCCTCATGTGCATCTCTCCATTGCTAACATGGTATCTAAGCAATTGGCTCCTTGATTTTGGGCATGGCGCTTGCTGGCCAAGAGGCCAGTGACGAGGAGGAGGATGAGCCTCTTGATTGCAATCCCTTTTTGCAATGCTTGAAGCTTTTTTTGGATGTGCTAGATGCTTGAGGCATTGCATCAAGGCACTAGGCCGTGTAGAGGCGTTGAGCAGCAAGCAGTAGCAAGTAGAGCATAAAGCCAGTGGGAGATTGAGAGATTTCAGCAACCCACATCAAAAATTGGATCAAGCAAGATTCAAGAACATTGCATAACAGCAATTGGGAAGGATGCTTATGGAGATTCAAGTGCTTGGTAGCAGTAGAAGTGGGAGCCTGGCAGTTCATAGCCAAGACCACATGCTAGTGGCAAGATTGAAGCCATAGCAAGGAGCAAAGAGTGTGCAAGCAAGTTCAAGACCAAGAACCAAATTTTGGGTTGATTGATGAGTTTTTCATATGCTTTTCTCATCAACTCTCCATGCTCATCATCTCAGACTAGCTAGGCACGATTAGATTCAGGCTCGGATCAGCCGCCTGATCGTGAGTGGGAGTGTTAAAGGTAGACATGATGTGGCATGTAGTTATGCCCATGTGGCAGTAGTTCCATGTATATGTACCAGTTGAATACAGAGAGAGAGAAAGTTCTTCCTCCTCATGCGCATCTCTCTACTGCTAACAGATCATTGCCTTCCCTTGGCATGGCTTACTACTGTTTTTTATTCCATGAATGTGTGTGTGTGTGAGAGAGAGAGAGAGAGAGACAGAGAGGCTGAAATACAATGATAGTATGCCACAAACAGGCATTTGGATAAAGAAATGCATCTTTGAGCTTATGCCAGAAAGGAGCTAATCTCTTAGACCACAATTCTATCAAAGACAACCAACATATGCCAATTAAGGACTCTGTTTATGCCGAGAGATCTTGTTTCTTGGAACTCTCATCTAGCAGCAACTGCCCAAGCTGGGCATTTGCAGGAAGTGAAGAACATCTTTTCCAACATGCCAGAGTTTGCTCCTCTGTCGTTCATGCCCAGTGCTTTGGCCACCCTCATAAGGATTTGGTTGTGTCCATTTCTTTTCTTGTCATCTTGGTGGAAAGTGGCTGCTTCACAAGTCCATTGTCTTGTGCTGTGCTTGCACAGATCACGACGACAGTCGAGGCTGAGCAGAATTTTTACAGCATGCAGTGTTTATGCTGCAGTTGTATTCTCAAGAATTGACTCATGACACTGAAGCCATATATTTAGGTCTGCCTGATCAAGGCAATCATTTAGTTTGGGAACATCTAAAGAATCTCTTTGATGAATGATGAGACAAGGTTACGTGGACTGCCATGCTGACAGGGTATGTTAACTACCAGAAGTTGGAGGAAGTGTTCGAAACAATGCCAATCACAGCGTGATAGCAGATTGTGCTCTTGCCCGAAATGGACGTATGCTTTTTGCGAAGAGAATGTTTGACAACTCCAATGTTCTTGAATATGCTATCATAATAAGGAGGGAGTGCTGAACTTTCTGGGCTGGCGGATCCAGCCAATGGCAGCTGTCCAATAGGGGGTAATTGTAAAAGGGTTATTTCTTTAACCATGTCTTAGTGAATAATTGTGTTGATGTTTGCTCCTAGCCAATGGGAGGCAGCCAAACTGCGTGAGAGAAGAAGGTGTAGCAACATGTGTCACATGCATGTGTTCTGTAGCAGATCTCACTAGAGTTCCAACCCTTATGCTGGAGCTTGTGGAAAAGATCCAGTGCCAATCAATGCAATTTGAGATTGTGGGCAATGCCAGTCTAGGAGACTAGATTTGGATCTGGCATGGCATGGAAGATCGCAATCAAGATGGCCGAATTGGATGTAGCTCATGAGGATGGTGTTCAAGGACATTGGTTGCTCTCTCTTGCCCTGGAGAGGAGGATCTTTGTCTTGCGCAAATGCCCATTCGAGGCCAATGCTTTGATCATGGCATTGTAGCTCGATTTGGGAGAAGATCTGCCATACCTCCGCAACATCCACGATTTGGGCATATGCATCGATGATCTTCACCTTATCCTCACAAGGATTGTGAGACCAACAACTTTCCCACAATTCCAACCAAGAATCAACCTCTTGACTATCACAAACATCTGGTGATGACTTCCATTCCATAATACCATAATCCTTGGCATGCTTGACGTACCAATGGTAATCATAGACATGAGATCGATTCAATCCTTGAGGGTCCATGTGAAGCAAGAAATCCTTAATGAGATTGACAGAATCCTTAACCTCCTTTATGTCACTCTAAACTGCAGAAATCTAGCGTTCTTGCCACACAACGACATCATCAAGAGTCTCTTCCGCATCGTCATAGCTATCATCACTAATGCCATACTCCTCATCAGGATCAATCTCTTGCTCACCTGCCATCCCCAAAAGAACGTGCTGCTCTGATACCAATGAGATGATTAAGAGAGCAAACCCTAGGCCAACCTCCCAACCCTTAAGGCATTACGGCCTTAAATCCCACAGGCCATAGAATATTCTTGAAATATTCCTGTGGTTCATGTCATGTAGAGCCATGGAAGATTTGCCATGCTGCCTCTGGGCATCCACACCTCCCATACATTTGCACCACCAAATTGCATGCCAAGCTCTTGCCGCGAGGAGGTGCTCAATCTCATTGTGGAGCTTAGAAGCTGTGGATAGATTGGTTCACTTCTTTATTGCATCCAACAAAAGCTCTCAAAAATCTAGTGCTAATATGGTTCTCTGTAAGAAAAAACCATATAATCATGCACAATCTTGGATGGTTCCTTGGTTGTTGTAGAAACAATCATCAATTCGGAAATTAGTGTCATGATCCGCACCACTGTTGTCTTTGCACATCGCATAGTAGACCAACTTTGGGATGGTTTCATTGTTATACAAGTAACCTGTGGGCGTGCATATCTCTAAGAAATTTGTCCTGCCACACTTTAAATTCCCATTATCATTGTGGATGTGATTGTCCAAGACCAAATAAATCTGAGATTTTTCAGGGAGACACCATTCTAAATGAATATAGATTAGGGTGAATTCAAATATAGGACAAGTAAGTGAGAAATCCCCACACCCAAATGTTTTAGGAATGATCAAAGTAGCAAGCGAGGCAACAATAGAAACTATCAATTGCACACCCATTCTAAAAATTAGTTTTCTGGAAGTACAAATGCTGAGATTTATTGGCAAGGGAAAATCCAATCAACCTTTATGAAGCAAAATTTTTTGCCATGTAGTCCATGTAAGATTCGGTGGTGAAGTAGCTAAATATTCTTATTGATGAACAAACATGTTCGAGAACATTAGGGTTGTCAAACATTCTCTTTGCAAAAAGCACACATCAATTTCGGGCAAGAGCACAATCTGCTATCATGCTGTGATCAGCATTGCTTCAAACGCTTCCTCCAACTTCTAGTAGTTAACATACCCTGTCAGCATGGCAGTCCACGTAACCTCGTCTCATCATTCATCAAAGAGATTCTTTAGATGTTGCCGGACTAAATGATCGCCTTGATCAGGCAGACCTAAATATATGGCTTTAGCGT